CTCTCCCACACCCAAACTCCCTCCTCTCCATTGGTAAGTATAACTCTTAGTTAACCGGAATTTTTGACTTACCGGCACCCCCCCTTCCCCCACGCCGGATAACAAAGCTTTTACTGTACTTGATGACAGGAACTAATTCAGAAATCCATTGCAATCGCTCCCAGACGTTCCTGGTTTCTTGGCCATGCGGGAATGATACAGTTCACCCTCTGCACCTGGCTCTAGTTCAATAGCAAACAGCTGCTCCCCAGAAAGAGAGCAAACGCTCGGTGACCTGCTGATGGGCTGGATGAGCCATCCTCACAGTCTCCTGCTCCACAGACCCCCTGCCAGTTCTTCCCTTGTTCCTGGCGTTCACTGCCACCTTAGTCCCCTCCTTACCCCAGGTCTTCCTCATGGACACACGCTTCCTTGTTCACCTGCCGGAACTCCCGGAGCTCAGAGAAGTACTGCTCAGATTTCTCGGACAACGACGAGTCCGTCTCCAGCAGCCCTGGGAACGCGAAGCGGAGAAGGAAATTCAAAGCTGGAACTGCATCAGAGGCAGGTGACCTGGGAAAGCTCACGTGAAGTGGTCAGCTAACCAGGGTGCTGAGTGCCAAAGAGGGCGACTGATCAGACCAGCAGACACGAAGGGAGCAGCGTGGCCAACTGCCAAGCAGATACTGCCTGTCGAAGGAGAGACCCCAGCAGCGCCACTGACCCGGAGGGGCCAGTGACTTCTGTGACAAAAAGCCTTGAAATGATCTCTCCTCCTTGTTTCCTTCGTTCATCTCCTGCTCCTCTGGGCTCCCCCTCGAATTCTCTCAGCCCCACCGCAGCTGCATGGATTCCTGGCCAGTCTCCTCACTGCCGTTCCAGGAAAGCACAGGTCATCTCTGCACTGACTGAGGAACTGCGTCTGGCTTGGCAAAACTGCAGCTCTTGTGCTGAGAACGCTGCCCAACTTGCAGATTTTTCAGCAGTACCGGGGCAACAGCTCACTATGCCCTGGTCCCAAAGCGCACGCAGTCTCCAGCCCCGGGCCTGCGCCTCGGTCTGTACCCTTCGCCATACAGGAGGTGAGTTGGGATTTTAGCCCCTCCGTCAACCAGATCACCCCAATAACACCACAGTTGTGCGGTGGGGCTAGGACTTGCCTGCAATCCAGTCGTAGCCCAAGAAAGGACGTGCTGACCAACTATCGGCGGGGATGGTGTATTCCTCAGGGTCCGACAGAAAAGTCACTCGGCCTGCTTCCTTCTGGGGTGAAAAGAGTTCACAGGTCACTAGAGACTCCTTATGCGGCTACAAGGACACTGCACTCCTCAAAGGGGACCTATTTGCTAGCTGCAGAAAGGGGGGCGGCTGTGGTCTAATGAACTGGGCTGAGAAATCTGGGCTCTAGTCTCGGCTGTCCCAGCAATTCACTGCCTGGCTTTGGGCGGGTCTCTCACCCCTCTCTGCAAAACGGAGACACGTGGCCAAGGCCACACAGCAAGTCGGTGTCAGCTCTGCAATCAGCACACAGGGCTTGCCGACTTCCAGCTCCGCGCTGACAATGCTACCCCAGGCTGCCCCGAGCTGCCTAGCAGGATGACGGCAACAATTGATGCCGGATGTATACTCTGAGCTTACGGAGACCAGCTGCGCAATGGGGGTAACCCACGAGGCCCTCTGTGGGAAGCCAGTAGCCGTGCTGTCTGAGCAACCTGTCCCAAATGTGCGTGGTGAGGGCAGCAGTGGGGTGAGGGAGAGGGCTCGGCTCTCATTCCACAGAGAAGGGGGAAGAGGGTGGGTGAGATGCCCGGGGCCCTCAGCTATTAGGAATGGAACAATTCGAACCCGGATATTTATTTCCCCTCCACCTGGCTTGAGCTGCTCAGGCCGATGCTCATCTTGCTTTTTACCTTGACTTCTTTCCCCCCAGGTGTCAGCAGGATTGATTTGGGAGTCCTGGAGTCTCTAATGGCCGTTTGCCGCCGGCCATTCCCTTCCGCTGGGGTCCTGCCCAGCACCGTCTCTGCCTCAGCCCATGGCCTGCCCCTCTCCAGGGCGCCACAGAGCACGGTGGATTGCTGTCTGCTCTCTCTGTGTTTCACAGGGGTGGATTCTTCCCCTGGGTTTCTCAGGGCATTGCCGTCTCTGGCCACTCTGGGGGTTTCTCTGGTGAGGGATGCTGCCGGTGTGAAGCTTCGTTCTGCCCTGGGGGAACCCGGATGCGCCCCCGCTCTGCGGTGCAGCACACCCCTCCCCTCCCTGCCGCACGCTGCGGGTTTCAATGGCGAATGAAGGGCTGCCCTGGCTGCCCTGGCTCCGGGTTCCACAGACACTAGCGTCACGGGGTCCGGC